GAATCATTTGAAAACCATTGGGATGGGGAATCTTTATGGTTCCTTCCAGTTTTGAATTTTATTTTTTATTTGAAACTGAAAACTCTCTGTGAAAAGGGATAATATTTCCATTTCTTTTGACTGTTGTAGTTACCTAGGTAGAGCTCTGTACCCAGGGAGCATTCAGTAAGTGCTAGTTGACTGTTCACTTTGGCACAGACCTTCTATAATTGAATTTTAGATTAAATTTCCTTTTTAAAATAGGATTCTAACGTAGAGTAAACTTTCAATTGAAATCAATTCACTTTGATAAAGCAGAGCCATGGCAAAGATAATCCAAATTATAAAATCTAAAGTAATTTCTATTTGAGTTGAGTCAGAGGGAAAAAAAATGTGTTTCTGCTAAACTAATTGTCTACACTTAGGTAAAGGTTATTTTAGGGCAAATGCCAACAAGTGGTGGATCAAACCCTCTCAGAATAGGACCAAAAAAACCACTGAAAAGAATTCATAACAGTGACTATAACTATACTTTTGGTAATATATTCTTTGTTGAAAACAAATACTAATTCACTAAAGATTTATTTTGAAGCAATGACTTCAGGCAATTTTTAGACCTGTTTTAAAATGAATGAGACAGAGATGGAGCTGTGTTCTCAGTCCAAGACCAAAAATCAAAGGAAAGCTAAACTCAAGTTTACCATTTTCTCTTCGCTCTTTCCCACTGCTGTTTCTTTGCCTGGCACTCCACTCTTCAGTATCCCGTTTCCTAGCAATCTTTCCAGGTTGAAAACTCAGAATGTCATTATCTCTAAGCACACTAATCAAATCCTCAGATAACGACGCCATTCCAAGCCTTTTGTTTTATTAAAGAGGGAAGTAAAGTAACAGGATACCTTTTATATGCCAAGCACTTTTGGACAAATGTCATGCTAGTCCATGCTGCTTATGACCCTGTGATGAATGTCCCATTTCACAGAAGAGATGGGAGGATTGGCAGTCCAGCATCTGACCCACTTCCTGTTTGGGACGAATCTGCTGCTGTACTTAATGTCAGTGAAAAGGAATACTGGATATTACTCCGTGGCCACCGTGGCAGCGAGACCTTTCTATGTTTCCCACCATGGTGATCAGGTCTTGTCCAACAGGGTTCTGGATTTGCAAGGTGGGGCACAAAGATGGCAGGAAAATTAGACATCCTTTCCTGTGGCAGGAGTTGTGGCCATGAGTCTGATGGTGGCACTTTGGGGCAGTGCCCAGCAGTTGAAATTCCTGGCCAGAATGTCCTGCTAAAGATTGTTCTTCCTCTACTAGACTTTGGTTTTCAGCCAAATTTCCAAGTCTGATTCTTCAGCTATCAATTCTGGGAGCCAGAAATATTTGCTCAGTAAATTCCAGTTTGGGTTGGTAGAGCCAGAGTCGGTGCGATTCTTGCAACCAGCAGCCCTGACTGATCCGTGAGGAAACAGACTCCTCAGTCAAAGAGCTTGTTCGGGAAGCCAGCTAGCAAGTGGCAGTGTTCTGGCTGAGTAGTCTTATGTTGTTTCCTTGATTTCATGTTTCCCACAGAGAAAAGGAATGAGCATGGTGCACAGATGAAAGTGGGGCTTGAAGACCAGAAGGTACTTTATGAACACTTACCCTAAAAAACAACAACAAAAAAGCACATTCAGTAACATATCTATACATCAGCGGGGTCTCCTCTTTACCAGGGACTGTGCTATGTTCAAGTAGTATCTCAGTTAATCTTCACAACAATATGATAGGTTGGGCATTGTTTTCTCCATTGTTTTGATGGAAAAACTGAGGCTCAGAGATATTTGTCCAAGTTTAGATTATAGTAAGTGCCAGTGCTGGGTTTGAACATATGTCTCCAGATAAGGAGGCTGGATCTCATTCATTAAGCCACACCTGCCTCACTATGAAATTTAATCAATCAAATCAATATTTTTCCACTGCTAATTTCTAGTAACCCCATGGTGGTTCCAGAACAGCCTCATCAATGTGTTCTTGTCGTCATGTTTCCTTGTGTGTGGTCTTACACCTGGGTCCCAGGGTGTGTCATCTGTCTTTGTTTCTTTAGACTGGAGACCCCCAGAGCACAGGACTGTGCCTCTACTAAAGATCTTCCCTGTAGATCCATCCCTAACGTCCACGCGGGGCTCCGCCAGGGCAGGCCACTGGGCTGGGCGTTCAGTGACTGGTCAACCGAATAACTGTACACAGAGGAGAGGACTTCGTTTTCCAACAGTGCTTACAACCAAAACGGGAGTTTGTACTCATCTTCTGTTCCATCCTGTCTCCACCTCCTCTATACCTCCAGCCTGCTTTTGCTTACTGGACTGTGAAATGGAGCCAAAGGTCCTCATTGGCAGAATAAATATCAGACTTCTCAGGGTCATTTGGGACACAGTCCTTGCCCAGACCTGGCTCCTGATAGCCCATGAACACTTTGTCTTTTGTGTTTTGGAATTAAGAAAACGAGTTCTGCATGTTTCCTACCACCACAAGGAGCAGTGCATTGAATTGGTGCCATTGTGAGCTTGATTGTTGTTGCATAGATAAAAGCCTCATTAAGTCCCTCCTGAGGAGAGAAGAAGAATCTTATTCTGAGGACAGAGTTTTGAGAGGGGAGGGGGTGGGGGGGTGGGGGGCTTCTTGCTTGTCATGGTTGCAACAACAAAACAGTAAATGGAGGAAATAATTAAATACCTGCACATCCCCCCTGCCCCCCGCAAAACTCGTCAAGCGGCTGGGTGAGTTTTTAATTAATGCTGCATTTTCAATAAATCCGTATCTGTACGTGGTGCCGATTTTCCCTGGATAAGGAAAGATAATAATGAGAATCCTATTTTTTCAGTCCCACACTAAAGGGATGCCTAGTATATTTAATCATGCTGTAGAAATCCTGGCAGCTTTCTCTGAGCCCGGCCCCTGCTCTAATTACATTTCTAGATTTTAGTAAATTGAAAGAGAAAATGTAGGAACAAAATAATTAAAACCGAAGAGGAAGTGCATATTAAAAAGGAGAAGCTGTTTAAAATTCTTCCACCCAGGGCTTCCAAGGACATCTACAGTCATTTAATCAGATCCACACCAAATCAAAGTCCTTTGTGCAGAGGCTGGTGGTAGCACATCTCAGGCGGGCGGTATGGTCCCCACAGTGGAATGGGAGCCTCATGGCACCAGGCTGCAGATGGGGCCAGGACGCTCATGTCCTTCCAGGTCTCTGGGGACTCAGACCCAGCCTGGACAGCTGCTGGCGGACTCACTAGCACCCAAGCGCCCCCTTCCAGGCCCCAGGCAGAATAAAACCAAACTGTCATGATTAGCCCAAGTGGGGAGTATATTGCCAAGGGCTCCAGTTTCCTCTTCTTGCACCCCTTCCCCACCTCCACGCTCCTCCCTCCGAGGAATGAGCGCAGGCCTCCTGTTCTTTCTTCGCTGCCGTCCTGTGCCATCTCAAGTGGAGACTGAACCGTCACTGATCCCGGTTCCCGGGCGACCTGTGGGGCCCTGTGAACTGTCGCAAGGACTGAAACCCGGGCTGGCTCCAGCCAAAGGGATGAATGTTGGTGATGACGTGGAGTGAAATCGAAGGGGAAAGTTTCCCGGCACCAGCCTGAGAGGTGACAAAGCTCTTTCTGTGTCAGGAGGGGCCCGCGCGGTAATGCCACACCCTTGTCGGAGGAGGATTCCCACCTCTTGACCAGGGTCGCTGCAACTCGGCCGGGCGACCTCGAGGCACCAGGGTCATTGCAACTCGGCCGGGCGAGCTCGAGGCACCAGGGTCATTGCAACTCGGCCGGGCGAGCTCGAGGCACCAGGGTCATTGCAACTCGGCCGGGCGAGCTCGAGGCACCAGGGTCATTGCAACTCGGCCGGGCGAGCTCGAGGCACCAGGGTCATTGCAACTCGGCCGGGCGAGCTCGAGACGTCCGGCTGCTGCGTCCGTGGCTCCTGGAACACGCTGAGCTGTGGGGGGACAGGGACTGCGTGCGTTCTGGAAGGTGGAAGGCAGCCTGGGGCTGTCAGGGGTTTCTCCCCGAACCCCGAACCCCGGGGCTTTGCTCAGGACCCCCGCCCGCCACCTGGGTCCCCCGGCCACAGGGCTTCCCGAAGCCGTCCCCCCAGATCCACACGCCGTCCCCCCGGATCCACACGCCGTCCCCCGGGACCCACACGCCATCCCCCCGGATCCACAGGTCCGTGTCTCCCCGGCTCTGCGTGCGGGTGTGCATGACGGTCTCATCTGCGTGTATGTGAAGGAGCCGGTGCCTGCTCTGGGTTGTTTGGCTCGATTCGGTAAGAATAATTTTTAAAGTTTAAAGAATTGTAGCAATGACGGCTATCCCATCACTGACGCCAGGACTGTAACCGGGAGGTGACTTCTGTTTTTTTCCTTGCAGGACCCAGACACTGACTTTTTTCTTTCACACACGCAGGAGCCATTGATCCCTGGGACCCAGGACCCGTGGCAGCAGCGTGTCGCCGGGTCAGCTCCTTCCAGGGAAGCCACCGACAGGCTCCCCCGCCGTCCCCCAAAGTGGTCCTTCTAAGTCTTTGCTTCCAAATGCTCAATGTGAAGTTACTGACAAGGGTCTCCAGCATTATCTTAAAGTCTGAAAAACATTCTGACAGCTGGTTAGGAAAATAAACAGGCAATGCAAGTAAAAGCCATTGGTAATTCATAAATGACTCGCAAATATAAGATGCTGCTGTGAAATGCCGTTATTGTTACGCGGCCCACCCCGCCCTCCCCTCGGTGCGCCTCCAGTTGGTCCTCGCACCTCGGCGTAGCCCGCGGGGGCCCTGCACGCGACCCCCTTCAGTTCCCGCCTCTTTCTTCTGAGGCCCCTACTTCTCTTCGGATCCCCGGCCGGAGACCCCCGGGACGCATGCGCGCAGGGGCAAGTAGGCGGAGCCTTGAGGGAGAGGGAGGCGGGACCGGAGAACCCAGGGAGGGGAGTAGCGTGGAGAGGCCGCGCGGGGTGGGGCTCGGCGGGTGCGCGCTCGCTGCGTTGACGTGCTGACGCCACGACGCCCCGGCCGGTGTGTGTCCGGGTGTGTGTGTGTGTGTGAGTGTGTGAGTGTGCGCGTTCCGAGTGTGTGTGTATTTGTGTATCGGCGGTCCCGCAGGTCCCGGATGTTGCGGACAGTATGAGGCGAGCGCAGGGGGACGGGGACCAGCAGCTGTCGCCGCCGCTCTGAGGTGAGTGGGGGGGAGGAGAGTCGAGGGAGAGGGTTGTCCTGTCGGAGTGGGGGGCGCCTCCCTTAAGAGGTGACTGACCCCTACTCCCCCCGCCCCCCCCTCCTCCCTCCACACATATACTCTTCTCTGCCCCATATCCCACATCCCGGGTTACGTGGCTTGTAAATGCCAGAGCCTCATCAACCGTTCCTTCTCCCAATTCGAAGCATTCAGGAGACACAAACGCGCCCCCTGCCTTCAGCCCCCCCACATAATTTTCCCAGTCCCATCCCCCTTGCCAAATAGAGAGCTGTCGCCTGCGGCGAGATGGGTGACTGCGCATGCGCGAGCGCGAAGGAGCTCGGGGTGCTTGTTCGCTGCCCTCCGGGCGCATGCGCACCACTGTGTTGCAGGGACCTGCGGGATAAAAGAGCCCCTTGACCACGCGCCCGCCTTCTTCCCAGGCTGCGGGCGAGACTTACTGCCAGATAACCAGCCTGTTGCTCTTGTCCCAGAGGGAGAATTTCCGTGTTCCGAGGGGCTTATTGACAAAGCACTGTTTGCATCCGGGGTTGCCTAAGTGACTCACAGGCTACAAACGCTTCCCAGAGCCAACGTGCCCCGCGCTGACCCTTCTTTTGAAACTGTGACTACAACTTCTGGTTCTAGCATTGCTTTCTTTACTCCCATACTTTACTCCCTTGCTGTACCTTTAACGCAAACATCCCCTGAATTTTGGAATAAGTAGGTGCCCAAACCCACTCAATTATTATGGCAGGGGATTTTGGAAGGCTTTCAGAGGAGGACTAAGGGTCATAAAAAAGAAAGCAAGAGGGGGTTTCCTTTTAGCAAAATTCCTAGTTATCTTCACAGAAGGTTAAGGTGTAGATAAAGAACACACAATGTAAGGCTTAGAGGAGTAGTTGTAAATCATGATATCAAGGTTCTCTCCTCTCCAGCCTTCTTATTTGTGTGACCTATTTACCTCTTTCTTTGTAAAAGAAGATCTTCCTTAGCACTTTCGTTTTAGCTGTACATTATTGATGCTCTGCGAAGGTCACATGAAAACAAAAGCAATCTGAAACCACTGGTGGATGGTATCTTACCCAGGGCAGGTTTTAACTCTAAGTAACGAGAGTGCACGTAACAAACAGCAATTTAAAACTAGGAACTTCAAAGTACAGGAATATTTCAGTGATCTAGGCCCTGGGTTTTCAGTTGGCCGATTATCCATGGTCCTGGAATTTCTTCCCGTGTTGCCACTCTTTTGCATACTTTGCTGTTTTTTACCTCTGCCATCGGAACAGGGTGAGGGAATGATAAACTCTTACAAATTGAAGGTGTGCTGAAAAGCACTGAAATGAATAACTAAATTGTTGGGCACGGGGCTTGAGGGGGGGGGTGGGTGGGCGCGTATTTTTTGTGTTTTTCAGTTATCTTTGCCAACCATGTCACCTGTGTGAATAATTGGGAATGGGATATATTAGTAAGCCTTCTTTTCTGTTCTTTTCCCTTTGTGTTCTTTCTTTGGTATTCTTTGCTCAAGGCTTCTTCGGCTGCCATTTTTAAATGTAGGACCTTATGTTCTTGGGCTTTAAAGTATACATTCTTTTTTCACTTCCTCATTTAACTCTGGCCTTTGCATGGTTAAGCTGTCTTTTGTGCTGTTTTCTGTTGCCATGTGGTTGCAGTGGAGCCAAGAAGCATAGGAATTTGGGGGCATATGTTATCCTTGCCCTGGGAAAGAGGTGGAAACTCATCTTTTTTCCCCCTTATGTGAATATGAGGAGTGCTAAATTATTGTGACAACCCCCGCCTGGGGTGGGGGTGGTTGGTGTCCACTTGGTACTTAGTGACTTCTCCTTTTAGAGCTCTTCATAGTGGTTAGTTTGGTACTTGAAGATGATTAATGCTATCTCTGTCCAGACTTTGATCAGGTTCTGGGCTAAAACCTTGAAGTGAAACTATTGAGGTAGTCACTGTCCATTTCTTTTCTCTGCAGGCCTCTGTCTTTTAGAATGCTTTGTTTTTATGTGGAAACATTTCACCTGGTTCAATTTGAAGCCTCATTTAAAATTGTTATGATACTAAGGCATGATATGCTTTTAGGATTAAGATGAGTATCATTAGATAATTCTTAATGGTGCAGAGCCATGTTTAAAAAAATAACTCTTTAAAACGGGTAACATGTACATACTTATAAAACAAAATTTAAAAAGTACACAGAGAGAGTGAAAAATCTCTTTTGTACTATCCTCCTTTCATCCATCTAGTTACCCTCCCCAAAGGAAATTGTTGTAACCTGTATCTTATTTACCCTTTCAGAGATAATCAGTGCTTTTACAAGCGTGTACAACTACATATTTTTTGGTGCTTTTGTTAATTGTTGTTTTATGCACAGGGTAAGAAACTATACCCATTATTCTGTAATTTGCGTTTTCATTTAATATATCTTGGCCATCAGTTAATACAGTACATAGAGTACCTCTTTTTGAAAGCTGGTAGGTATTCCATTGTATAGATGTACCATAATTCATTCAGCTGTTTTTATTGGATACTTAGGTTATTTCCAGAGCTTCAATTAATTTCTTACATGTAGATTTTATGTACATGGGTGTCTTGGGTAAATTCATAGTGGAAGTGCTTTCCATAAAGGTTGTATGGATTTATATTCCTGCTAGCAGAGTATGAGTCTGCCTCTTTCCTCATCAACACTGTATTGTCAGAATTTTTATCTAGCCCTGGCATGTGGCTCAGTTGGTTGGAGTGTCATCCTGTACTTGGAAAGGTTGTGGGTTGTGGGTTTGATTCCCTGTCACATACCTAGGTTGTGGGTCCAGCCCTGGTTGGGGTGCCTGCAGGAAGGCAGCCTTTTGATGTTTCTCTCTCCTCTCTCTCTTTCTCTCTTTCTCTCTTTCTCTCTCTCTCAAATCAATAAGCATGTGCTCAGGTGAGGATTTAAAATTATTTGTAAAAATCTATGTGCAGTCTTTTATTTACGATTTTAAAGTTAATTATGTAGCTTGTTAAGCTTCATTACATCCAGGAGTTGTGGATAAATACTGTCTCTGCTTTGCAGATGGGGGTGGTGGTAGAAATATTGTTCAACTGAAGAATAATGTCATGGGAATAAAGTCATATGCCTGGATAACACAGCAAACCCATGACAGTGTTAGAAAGACATGTAAAACCTGTATTCTAGTTTCTTTAACTTTTAGATGCCAGTTTTCCTAGGTGAAGTTCTATAAGCCCATAAGTGAGGTTTTAAAATCTTTTGATAGCTGTGATTCAAAAACGGTTTATACAAGTGAATTGCCATTCTGTTGAGGAATTGAAATGCTAACTCACTTTAGGTGCTTTACTGAGCACCTATGCAGAATATTGGCACTAGCACTTTTTAAAAGCCTGTTGATTGCAGAATACTTGACTATGAGCTGTGAGGAAATAGAAAAGAATGAAAAGATCTGTTCCTGAAGGAGCTTACAGTCTTGTTGGAAAATTAAATCTACTGAACATATGAAATAATAAGGGAACATTAATATATTGCGTTTTATGCTGAGAGGACTTTGTAAATAAGGGATTAAGGGTTTACGAAGAGTTTATTTGCGGTGCCTTCCTGGAAGAAGTGCATTTTGAGTCCCTACCCCCTGCCTTTTTACAGCTGTTTAAGTGAAAAATTTAAACATACAGAAAAATTGAAAGACTAGTACAGTTATCTCCTAGATTCCACAGTTGTTCACATTTTGCTGTATTTGCTTTATATATGTGTATGTATGTTTATATATATACACATTGTTATATTGCAGACTTAACACCTTAATACTTTAAATATGTGAGATGCTTCTTAAAATACATTGTTTTACTTAATTGTTCTTACAATACATTGCCAATTGCCACAGTTTAGGCAATTAATGGTAATTTCCTAATACCATCTAATATTCAGTTCATATTCAGATTTTCCTAGTTATCTTGAAGATGAACCTTTTAGTTATTTGTATTATTTTTCCTGCAAACATGTCTTTTATCTCTTTTAAAATCTAGAACAGTTTATATACAGGGTATCCCCCCAAAATGTATACACACTTTAACAACTGTTAGTTCAGTTTTGAAAATGAAATGTATTTTAATAAAGACTGCCTTTATAATTATTCAGTGTTTATACATTTTTTGGGGACATCCTATAGAAGCCACATGAGAAGAATTACTGCATAGGTGTTGCTCTGTACTTCATTTTGCATCACAATAAGAGAAACGTAATGTTGTAATGTCCCACTGCAGTGATGGCGAACCTATGACACGCATGTCAGAGGTGACACGCGAACTCGTTTTTTTGGTTGATTTTTCTTTGTTAAATGGCATTTAAATATATAAAATAAATATCAAAAATATCTTTGTTTTACTATGGTTGCAAATATCAAAAAATTTCTATATGTGACACGGCACCAGAGTTAAGTTAGGGTTTTTCAAAATACTGACACGCCGAGCTCAAAAGGTTCGCCATCACTGCACTGGAGTAATGATGCTGAGTTTGATCATTTTTAAAGATGATAAATACCTTGTGTTTCCATTGTAAAGACTTTTTTTTCTTTGTAATTAGCAAGTAATCTGTAGAGTGGTGACACTTTGGCACCATATTATATTTCTCCAGCATCCTTTCATCTAATGATGATCCTTGCCAGTTATTGGTTTGTTGCAAAATGGTAATTTTCTAATTCTCATTCCTCCAATATTTTGTAACTTTCCCTCATCAGGAATAGATTATAATTTCTACCTAAAAGTTCAGGTGAATTCTTAATTTTCCCTTTAACAATTTTTTTGAGTAAGGAGACGATATAATAACCACCGCTAATGGTGGCGAATTATTTCTTTTTCTTGCTTTTTGTTTTAGTATTACTGTAAACTTATGAATTTTAATTTACTCTATGTTTTACCAAAAATCACTTTTCTTGGATGTTCAAGATGTCCCATATTTGGCCAGTGGGAGCCCTTTAAGCTTGGTTTATGAGCACTTCCTTGCCTTC